AAAAAAAGCATAATGCGTTTCACCACTAGGGCTTTATCAAATGATTGATAGAAGAGCTGCAGTAGCAGTTATACAGTGTGCATCACTCAGTGCTGTTTATCTCCCCCCATACAAAGCGGCTGCATCCTACAGCTTTATGAAGCGTAGGAGGCTGACTGGGCTATATAGGACACTGGCCAAGGCTCACAGTACTTATCTTGCAGACCGATCTCAGCCAATGAATGCACATATGTGCATAAAAATATACACAGAATTTATATTAGCCAGCCCCATGATGTTGCCAGAAATGAAGTAATACTTCCAGTTGCATATAAAAGCTAGTTGATAAAAGAGTAATGGTTGAGAAAGGCTAAATACTAGTTAGGGTAGTAAAATGTGAAAACAGAATTACCAGTTGGAGTAGTAGTAAAATCGCTGTGATGGCTAAGCTTGGCACTGTCTCAATGAGCATCATTGGAATTGTAGGCCAAAAACCAAGCATTGCCGAACTTAGTCACCACTGCTTTAGGCTTCTACCAAGAACACTATTTTTGTTACATGAAATAAAATTGTTGCATGTTCTGTACATTTGCATACTGCATGTTTGTATGTTGGTAACTGAGTAAATTGTTATCACTTTACACCTGGATGTTTTGAAAGTGACTTTTAAGGTTTTAGAATTTTATTTTTGGTAAAGGCAACATTTTTAAATCATATTGAAGTTCTCTGATTAATATTGCAGCTTAGTTTTTTATGTTATCTGTTCAAGGGACCTAGGTGGGATTATACAACGGCAAGTGTCTTGGGTATTACATACTATTTTATATCCAGTACCTGTATCACTCCTAAGATGTCTGTAAATTTCTGGACACAAATGTTTGCCGAACAAGGAAAGTAATAGAGCATTGTAGAGCCCATAGCAGGATATAAACACACACATGCATTAATAGGGAGTAGCAAAAACAGACTCTATAGAGGTGGGTGATAGAATGGGGCTAACAGGAAACCAAATGGAAGTAATGTGGAATCTAACTAATGAGGAAATGGAACCTAAATCATGTAATTCTTTAGGGGGCTTTATCTATATTATTGTCAATTCTTATCCTAGAGTCTTGAAGGCAGCATAGAAGTGTAGTTTAGTAGACAAGCCTACGATTGTGTAACCACAGGTTATCTAGCGTAAACTTTCACCAGGAAACAAAAACAGAACAGCAACAGACATTATAGAAAAGAAGGGACGAGACAGGAAGATCATGGTCCACACAAGGCTGATGACAGGTCAGGACAGATGTACAGGCATGGGTTAAAGCTACAAACGCTGATGTGTTGAGCAATAGAGTGTCAATAATAATATGTTGCGTCCCTGCCAAATAAGAGCATCTAAATACTCACTAAATTATTTTTATGGACTGTATTTTAAGCTTGTATATGATGTGTGGACACCCTACATTGTCTAGGGTCCTACCGCCATCATCCAATCTCATGCAGGTGCCAGGAACCTCATAGAAGCTAACAGCACCATCTTGCTTGTTACCTGAATTGTCATGGTAGCTGAATGATGTGGATCTTTATCAGGAACTGGGGATCATGTGTTCGTGTGCTATATGTTTGTTATAAAAATTAATGGGATTTGCACAAACAAGTACAGAGTAGTTTCTCTCTGCTTCTCAGTCTCTTAATTAAAAAGATTGGAGAGCTTTTAAGCAAGAGAAAATAAAGACTCATTCAACTGCATTGTGTTATTTTTGTTCATTTCATTGGAATATAATGATTGTGCATTTTGAAAGCAAACTCCTGCTAATATCCTGTTTAGGTAGCTCATCAATGTGGCATGGTGTGGTGTCATATACATATATATCATTTTGTATGTTTTGACAGTGGATTTTCAAATACCCATCTAGTACCAGGCTTTCAATTCTGGATGCTTATTTGCTTGATCAAAAAGTGGTGACTGGAATGTCCCTTTAACACTGGGTTGTTGTTTCTTCTGGAACTCCAAAGCTTGAATCCAGGACATTGAGCCATTGACTTCAGTTGTCTCTGTCAAGACAATCACAACTTTTACGAAATTTGCAATGGATTTCTCTAAGCCAGGTCAAGGCTGCAACATCTTAACGCTACCTGCATCAACGACTACTACTTGTATCCTATAATCACACTTGTAAGGTCAAAGAATTAGCGGTGGGGAAAGTGGGCTAAATTTGAAGTTATCTAGCCTTTCCTTAATAGGAGGACCTGCTTAGTACAGGCCTCATCTGATTGCTTAATGTAAAGGTGTAATGACGGTTTCTTGTTTGTCAGCTTGGTTTTGTTCAATGTAGAATGATGTGTAGAACTGTAGTGACTGTTTGATTTATTTTTCACCATTTATTTATTTACTGTCTTATTTATGTTTTGTTTTCATGTAGCTCAAGTCTGGTCATTTTTATGTTCTATATGATACAAGGATAATTGCATACAGATTGTTTGACGTGTGAAACTGTTACTAAATAAATTAAACTATTATATAATTGTGATTTCTAAGGCAAGCCACTATAGCAGTCTAGAATCCATTTCACTGATTTTGCTCTTTCTGAGCAAAGAAACATGCCTGTCCCCATTGATCATATTTCCATTTCATGCCATTGTGTGATATTCTGTAATTGTATGAATAGCCTTGCCTCCATTCTTTCTGTCATAATACTTTACCACGAAACAAGTGCAACTTACAAAATAATCAGAATAATACACCTCATTTAATTTTTTTAAAAATAAAATATTAAGGAAAATATTGAAATAAGCACACACGCCCTAACACTGTAGCGTTAGGAATACAGGTATGTTGCTATTTACTTTAGCCTACACATATAGAGATTTTTTTTTAAAAATAAACTGAATTATTCACCTTTTCTCCAGTGCAGATTCTCCCTTGGCACTGCCGCATACTCCACCCTTAAGGGAGACCTCATTCTCCAGATTGACGGTCGAATCCAATACTCATAATAAAGGAGCTTTAGGGGCTTTAGGCACATGCGTGGTGTTTGCCACCATGCACCTAAGATTCTGTAATAGCGAATCCTTAAATACAATGATTCTCTATGGCAGACCGTGAAGGCACTGCGTATGCGGGTAAGCACAGTAAAATTCCCGGCTCTCATACCCAGAGGGCTTGGAGACATGACTTGAAGTCGAACTTCAAAGCTTTCAAATTTAATGAAACAAAGAGTTTGGGGGTGTAGGAGAGGGGGGCATGGCTACAGGCATTATAACCACGTCAATAATATGAAGTTGTTAAAATGCCTATAGTGTTCCTTTAACATTATGCGTTACCTGGTCAGATCACATTTAGTCTAGTGTAGGATATTTTTAATAACTCGGGAGAACTACTGTAGCTAAAATTAGTTTTTGGTTTTTCAACATGTAATGTATTTTGCCCTCTTATCAGAGCTTTTTAATGTTATTTGTTTACTACAGGAAGGGTGGAAGTTGTTTTCATTGCAGAAATCTGTTAGGACATTGGCTTATAGCAAACGACAGAAAGTATTAAAGAAAATTTACTTAGAAACAAGTGCACAGCAAAATGGTTTCCCCAAATCTACTAGTTTATAACATTGGAATTTTGCATAATTATATTCTTGAAAGGAAACGTGTTCTTCCCCCTTAGAGAGGGTTGTGTGTTTGCAATAGTGTCTTTATCTACTAAGCTGTCCTACTTAAGTGCTACCCAACTGAAGATAGGAGGGATGACTTATGAAATACATTATATTTCCCCCAATAGAAAATGCACTATTTTACCGAATGATGATGTAGCCTGCTTTTAGCCCCACATTGTCTTGATGCAAGTTGGAAACTGAATAGCTAAAGCACACTACAAGGCTTAGCATAGAAAGGCCCATGGTATTTTAACACCAGTTTAGACAACCTTTGTAGGTATTGTCCTCTGCGCTATACACTAACCTTTAGAGGGTTATTCACTACAGTGAGAATTCAAAGTTAATTTTAAATTTAATGCCAAAGTGGCTAAGATAATTTTACCAGTTTGGCTATATTGGCCTTGAATTTCGAACTTTACGATTTAATTCTCACTATAGTGAATAACCCTGTAAGCTTCTAATCCCCATTTCCTTCAAAGCATTTAATGTATTGTTCTGATTCTGCAGAATCCAAAGAGAAACTTTTAACAGAAAAGGGTGAATAAAATTTGGGATTTTGTTTTTGCCTACCGAAGCATCAAAATTATAATCAGCTTGTGTATTACTTTTCGCTTTATTATTTACCTATTACTCCAGAAATATGTTCTTGGTTAAATTAAAAAAACAACGCGTAGTGTTAATTTTACTTTTATTGTTAATTTTAATATTCTACAACTGTTATGTATATAAAAAAAAAAATCTAAGTATTACAGGCACATGTTGGAAAATATTATTCTTTAGCCAAATGAACAAGTTTTTTTTTTCTTTTTCTTTTTTTTTTTTTCTTCAATCTGTCGCTGAAATCAAATGCTTAAGTATTTTTTTACTATATGTATGTAGCTGTATTAAATGTGAAATGCTCAGAACTGAACGAAGTATGTATTCTGGTTAAATGCTGAATATGTTAAGTGTTTTCATGGTCTGTCAGTTAATAGTGTGGAAATGCTACATCACTTAGAATAATGTTGTCTCTGCACTTTCCATGTGTCTCCGTGATTTGAAGAAAAAAAACAAAACATTTTTTAACAAAATCCAAGTTGTTTACATTTTTATTTAAAGGAATTTGGTTTAAAGTTTTAAACTTTCTATACAAAATATTAGTTTTGCTTCTATACATAAATTATAATTTTTTTAAAAAAATGATTATCTGTAGCATTACTGGGTAAAGCTGGATAAAGCTGTAGATCTGTTTTTTAGACTTGGCACAGTGGCGGAATGAACGTTGAGAGGGCCCTGGTGCAAGACATGGTTTTTGTCCCCCTCCCAGTGCAAGGGTGACCAAAAGCTAGATTCCGATCTCACGCAGGCATTGCCAGCTGTGGATTTACCATTTGCCCACCTTTGCAGGATTTATTTGTGAGCAGTGTTTGAATCTAAGCATGTTTTTGTATGAATTGTGTGTGTGAACGTATGGGTCTGTTTTTGTTTAGTGTTGCCATTTGAAAGCAGTGGTGTACTTCTGTGTTTTGCATTTGAATGCTGGGCTCTATTTGTATATAGTGCTGTTTTTTTTTTTTAAATGTGGGGTGTATTTGTGTGTAGTTTTGGTGTTTGAATGCTGGGGTATGTTTGTTTATAATGACTTTTTTATTACGTGTGTGTGTTTGAATGTAATGTTTACATTTTGATTGCAGCTTTGTGTTTTGTATGTAGTTTTGGCATGGGATTGCACAAGTGTGTTTGTATGTAGTGTTGTCGTTTGTAGTGTTGATGGGATCTATGCACACATGTGGCCGCCATCAGGGCATGACAACCATGACGGTTGTCATGGGCCCAGCAGTACTGGGGGGCCCGGACTGCACTGGCAGTCTCGGCCCCCACATTCCCTATGTGCACATATATCTAGCGATTATCTAGCTAGATATATGTGCACTGTGGGCCCCTGACTATCTGTATATTGCAGGGGGGCCCAGCACACTCGGCGACTGCACTTTCCATCTCCTTGGTCTCTAACTCTCGCGAGCTGTGGTTACCATGGCAGCGCTCCGTGCTGCACACAGGCAGGTCTCACGAGAGTTAGAGACCAAGGTTAACTGAAATGTGTGCTGGGCCACCCTGCAGCATTCGGCTCCGCCACCATGCCGCCAGGGAATACAATCTCCAGGTAAGAAGGAGGGGGAAATAACATAAAGTGTGCAAATAAATATTTTTTAAAAACAGCAAAAAAATGCTTTTTCCACACAAGACATGCTTACACAAACATACACTCTGCAAACACTACATCCACTGCACAAACACACACTCTGCATCTAATACACACAAACACTACATACAATATGCAAATGTACACACTGCATCCATTACACACACCACATTAAATACACACACACTTCATCCTTGTTGGCAGACCTCTGTGTGGATTCGGGGGCGCAGACCTTGAGCTGTGTCAGGGGCCCCAAAATTTCTGATGGAAGCCCTGGCCGCACTGACTCATTTATACCCACAATGACACATACACAGATACAAACACACAAGTTACAAATACATATAAAAGGAGTACATGTTCAAGATATGGGAATGCACTCAAATGTTAAAGTTGCCTAATTTAATTTCTACGGTAATTTTTTTTATTTTTATTTTTTTTAAGCAACACTCCAGGCATTGGAACAACTTCTTTTAAATTAAGTTGTTATGGTGCCAGAAGGTCCCTAATGCTTGCTTACCTTTAGGGGTTCAACAGTTCCAAATAGTTTAACCCCAAAGTCTAGTGTTCTGCGCCCAATCACTCTGCCTAATTTCCTACTGTTGCTCAGTATCTCGAAGGCACTCCAGAGAGGGAAGCAGGAGTTGTAATGAAAAAATTATCGTTCTCATCCATTAAAAACACGTGACCGTCAGCAGTACAAAATTTGCACAAAAAAACTGATTAGATATATAGAGTGGAGAACAGAGGGAAAAAAAGACATTACCACATTCCTAAAGGAGTTGAACATGTTTCTAAATCAACGTTTTATCAAGATCTATCAAAGTATCTGTTTAGATTCTTAATGCATTCAGCTCCTTTAGGCATGTAGTAATTTTTTTTTGTTTTGTTTTTTTCGCTTTGCTCCCCCCATTTGTCTAGTCAATATATTTGTGGATTTTTTTTATTGCTGATCTGTGACATATTGCTTTGATCTTTTATATGGTCAGTAAAGAAAAGTTTTTCATTACAACTTCTGCTACTGTTTTCTTCTTTGGAGTGCTCAGATTTGGAACATCAATGATCTTTTTCACTGTACACTCCAGCACACACAACATCCTGTTCCTCTTTTGTCCTCTGATATATCTTTTATAGGAACACCAGAAACCATTTGTCAAGAAACGCAGAACAAGTTTGTCATTAAATACATTTGCACTGTGCTAAGCAAACACAACATTTTCCCCATGCCAGAGCTCTTTGATAAGGTTTTGCAGGAGCTGCCCGGGAGGGACATCACACTGAGAGTGTCCTTGGTGATGACACAACAAGCCTACTCTCTGGCTTTACACTTGATGCCCCCTTCCATATCGGGCTGCTATGCATCTAAATGCAGGGCAATTTTTGTCCCTGTCTCATACTCCTAACTCTGGACTCTCCCTCTATGCACACATACAGCCACGAGAATTGTGTAGATAGATTGAAGATAGCCTTGTGTATCAGACTTGTCTTACCACCCACATTCTGTTGTAAGCGCAGATTATTAATTAGAAGAACGCATAAGATTTGGAAAAGAGTATTATGCTGTAGTCACTGATCTCCATATTTAGGCAGATCATTTTACAACTTGCCCCTACTTCCTGAAAATCCAGGAAGTCCCAGGTCCTAGAAGTAGAATAATACATTTTGGACGTTAATACATTTTGGCTACTGCCATTGAAGAAAGGCAACTACATCAAAATTGTTGTTGACTAGTAGGGTTATAAATCCAGGGCCGCCATTGGAGGGGGGTTGACAACTGTCATGCACTTGGTGGTCCTGGGGAGCCCAGAGGGCACAGGATCAGTGGGGAGACATGGCCATGACAAGAGACACCAAGAGGGGGCCCAGCAGCTTGCCCTGGATGCAGGATCTCTCTACACAGTCTACCTAGCACAGCCTATGGTCTGTAGGCTCAGTCAATCAGAGCGTAGCTGCAGTTACCATGGCAACGCTCATACTTAACGTGCCAGAATTTGATAGACAATTACCACATGGTTTGCAGCTCTGCACCCGGTGGAGCTGCAGACCCCATAGCAAGGACCACCAGGGAATCGATTTTTCTGCAGAAGAAAAGGTATTACAGTGTGGGGAGGTTGGTCACTGAAACACAGCCTGCATATACACTCTCACCCCCCACACTGAGCTAGAAACCCCCCTTCACCAGGCCCCATTAACTCCTTAACCTGTCACACTCAACCCCCCAACCATGCCACACACATCCCATCACAGTAACCCCTCCAATCATGCCACACTCACCCTGTTGCATTAATCCGCCCTAATCCTGTCACACTCACCCTACCAGCCATGCCACACCCGTCCTATTGCTCTTCCACACTCACCCTGTCACATTAACCCCTGTTAATCCTGTCACACTCCCCTCATTTCAGGGGGCCCGGCTGCAGCTGTAAACACTGTGGCCATGGACCACCGGCATTACTTCAGGGATGGTACCCAGGGCCCGCGGTTGCCAGGTGACCAGCAGGAGGGGTGCGCTGCTCTGTACTGCTCTCCTCCTGAGGATCTTTGTGTGTAGCATGGACAAGCACTGTGGTCTGACAGGAAGGGCTAACAGAGTACTTGAAGGGGAGGGGATGAGACACATATGGTTAGGGTCCATGGCATTTTTCGCACCAGGGCCCCGTGGTTTCTAGTTATGCCTTTGCCACTAACCATGTCACACTCACCCTGACACATTAACAGCCCTAATCTTGTTACACTTGCCTCTCCTCATAATGTCACAGTCCTTCCTCCAACCATGCCACACCATCCCCAACTCTGTCACACTCACTCCCCCCCCCCACCCTGCCACACTCATCTTGTTACTTTAACCCCTGTAATCATGTCACACACACACATTATTCTGTCTCACTCAACCTTCCTCATTACGTCACACTCACCCCCACAACCATGTCTCTATCACCCACCCTGTCCTGACACACTTATCCGTTCATAGTTACCCTTTTACTCACCCTTTTACAGTCATGCCCTGAAAAATCATACACACAGTCATGAAACACAGCTTCTCTATAAACACAATGCACAAAGAACACAATCAGCCTCCCATACACACAACACCCCACACACGTATGGACCTAGTGACCGATAACAGTATAGGTTCCTGCACAAAGGATTTAACTTGATGTGGTAACAGGCTTACTATTTTTAGGCCAAACTACAGATGAAGAGACTCCTCTATATTAAAGGCACACTATATAGTCACCTGAACAACTTTAGCTTAATGAAGCCGTTTTGGTGTATAGAACATACCCCTGCAGCCTCACTGCTCAATCCTCTGCCATTTAGGAGTTAAATCCCTTTGTTTATGAACCCTAGTCACACCTCTCTGCATGTGACTTGCACAGCCTTCCATAAACACTTCCTGTAAAGAGAGCCCTTTTTAGGCTTTCTTTAATGCAAGTTCTGTTTAATTAAGATTTTCTTATCCCCTGCTATGTTAATAGCTTGCTAGACCCTGCAAGAGCCTCCTGTATGTGATTAAAGTTCAATTTAGAGATTGAGATACAATTATTTAAGGTAAATTACATCTGTTTGAAAGTGAAACCAGTTTTTTTTTTTTTCATGCAAGCTCTGTCAATCATAGCCAGGGGAGGTGTGGCTAGGGCTGCATAAACAGAAACAAAGTGATTTAACTCCTAAATGGCAGAGAATTGAGCAGTGAAATTGCAGGGGAATGATCTATACACTAAAACGGCTTTATTTAAAGTAATTTAGGTGACTATAGTGTTCCTTTAACAAGGACCATATCTGAAACTAGACCTGGATGAAATGACTGTACATAAGAGAGGTGGCATGGTGAAGGGGTTGAGTTTGGGTGGGAATAAGTCTCAAGTCACCATAATTACCATACCCCTAGATCCGCTGTCAGACAACCTTTCCAGGGACTGGCTGAACCAATGATTAAAAATAAGTACCTGTCTAAATGAATCCATTCCGTGTGCAATGTTTCTTCCTGTATGTGAGTCACAGTGCAGCAGAATACGGTGACCTGTAATCAGGCCTCTCACACGAGGCCTGCTGTATGCGTTTGTATTATGTGCCAACTAAAATGCGTTATTAGTTTATAGACTGCAAGGCTGTTATCACCATAAATACAGGGCAAACGGCATTAAATAGGTCATAGCAAACTTTTTATTTTATCTGAAATAATAGTTGTGGCCAATATTACAAGTCAGAGCATTAAAGGGTCACTATAGCCACCAGAACAATTACAGCTTAATGTAGTTGTTCTGGTGAGTGTACTAGCTCCCTAAAGGGATTTTCATGTAAACACTGCCTCTAGGGACACCTCCAAGTGGCCACTAGTTAATGGCCACTGGAGGTGCTTCCTGGCTCAGGGCTGCACAGTAAGCAGCCCTGCCGTTCAGCATCCCCACACTCTTCATGGAGACGCTCAATTTTCCTCATACAGATTCATTGATTCAATGCATCTCTATGAGGAGGTCCTGATTGGCCGATTGCCAAATTTAGCTCTATGGGAAAGCAGTAGATTGGTTAAAAATCATCCATTTTGATGATGTCACAAATGGGGGGCGGAGCCAGCACAGGCAGACCCACGTGGCGCTGGAAATAAGATGCGTTGTAAACTTTTATAGGGGGGCTAAGAGGGTGGGTTTAGCACTATAGGTTCAGGAATACATGTTTGTGTTCCTGACCCTATAGTGATCCTTTAAGTATTGAGAAAGGCCAAACCCCAGAGTGGATAAGGAGAGGGGAGCATGACTGCTGCCCGGAGAGGTTGGCATGGTGACAAGGGGATACAATGTTTGGGATGCACCTGGACCGGGGACACTGGGTAATACTTACCAGACCACTGGAGAGCACGCTGAGGGAACCTAGCAGTGCTGTTTCTGGTCACCCTGAAAAAAGCAAAACTGCTGTTAGTAATTTACAACTGCTGTTACAGAATTTGCCACTGCAGTTAATATTTTAACATCATGGCTCATGTCCCTGACATGCCCAGAGAGGCTCTACTTACTATTCTGCAGGCCTTCCAGAGGACCCACTGCGCAGAGTCCTATGCTGCGCTGCTTCACAGTGTCCAAGACGCCCAGGAGCCTCAGGAGGGTTCGGGGGCCCACCAGAGGACGTCGTGCCCGCCGTTCCAGGCCGCCACCCAGATTGTCCCCCAGTCCGGTGCGGAGAGCCAGGGCTGTGCCACCAGCTGCTACCTGTCCGGGGCCGAGTGAGGCTGGCCCCCTGCGGAGGAATCCGGGTTCCTGTAGAAGAAGGAGCGGGGAGAGGCGTTCCACACGTCGGATGGTCCGGTCGGGGCCTGGCCATCAAGATGGAGGATCCCAAGATGGCGCTGTGGGAAAGGTGAGGTCGCGCAGTCTCCACCCTTCTTTTCTGGCTGCGGATGTGACGTCAGGGCGTGCGGCCGCACGCCGGAAGAGGCGGAACGCCGCACGCCGGAACGCTGGTGGCGCGTACGTGACGTCTGCGGGTCAGGGAGTGCAGACGTCACAGGCCACTGCCAAACCCGGAAGTCCGGGTGAAGATGGATCCGGGGATTCTGAAACAGAGCACCGCTGGCCCCCCGAAAGTGGAGATGGCCAGTGGGTGCAAGCAGGACGGCGGAGGAACTCGCCAGTGCCTCTTTGGACTGCCAGGGAGCGGAGAGGGACGCAGGATTCCCCTCCACACATCCACTCCAGAAGATCTGGAGCGCCCATGGGGGTCATCCACCAGGCCCGTGGAGGGGCAGCTGGCAGGCTAGCCACAGGACCTCTACTGACGGTTGGTTCGGATGAGTTGGAGTGCGCTCGCGCTTGGTTAGGGGCAGAGGGGGTCTCTGGGCTAGAACAAGGGAATACAGGGGAAGTCATAAAACTGCTGCGCTTAGTATTAGATCGCTTAGGACAGGTTGGCTTAGCTGCGCAGGACGCTACGCTTCCCACGGGGACCCCTCCGTTGGGTACTATGGAGGGTACTGCAGGGGGGCCGGTGTGTGACATAGCCCCCCTGGGGATGCATGTGTCGCTGGAGGTGAGGGAGAAGATCCTGAAGGGTGAGTATGTGGACCTCATATCGTTAGTCCCGTTTGATAGGGAATCCGCTGATAAACGGCGACGCGGTGAAGTGACGGAGAGTGGAAAAAGTTATGAGCTCCCCCGTACCTTCGGTAATTGGTTGCAAGGATTTGCAACTTATGCTAGTATTCTGTCGACGAGGTTTCCAGAGCGGGCCCCGTCGTTGTTTTCTTACTTAGATTTAATTTGGGGGGCTTATAAAGTTTATGGGGGTCAATGCTGGTTTAAATATGACCAGCAATTTCGGCAAAAAATGGCGATGCGACCGCACATGCATTTTGGCATGCAAGATGGTAATCTTTGGTTGCTTCTCATGACCCCGTGCCGTTCAGCCACATCGTCCTTTCCTTCTGCCGCCGGCGCTCCTGGTGGAGCGTCGGCCGGGATCAAGAAAGGCATCTTCTGGCTCTTCAATGAGAGTCATTGCAGGTGGTACAACAGATGTCGATTTAAACAGGAGTGTTCCCACTGTGGTGGGGCTCACCCGGCGGTTCGGTGTTTTAGAAGAGGAAAACCCCTCCACAGGATGGCAGCGTTGTTTGCGCACAATTTGTCCTCAATTCGGGGTAAGGAAGGGATGCTGGCGGCTAAGCTGAAAAAATAAGTGGACTTGGGACCGATGGCGGGACCGTTTTTCGTTCCTCCGTTTGATAATTTGCGGGTGTCCCCATTGGGCCTCGTTCCTAAGAAGGAACCGGAGGTGTTTCGACTGATTCAGGGGTGCACGGAAGGTGCAGCTTCGTCAGATGCAATCCCTGTTGGGCCACTTGAACTTTGCATGTCGGATCATGCCTATGGGTCGGGTGTTTTGTAGACGGCTGTCTCTGGCTACTGTCGGCATTAGTCTTCCCCATCATTTTATCCAGGTTACCAAGCGGCTTAAGGACGATTTGAATGTCTGGAGTGAGTTCCTCGCAGGGTACAATGGTCGGACATTTTGCCATGGGAAGCAATATCTAATGTGGCCCTGGAGTTGTTTACAGATGCCTCCGGCTCCTTGGGCTTCGGGGCATTTTTTCAGGGACGTTGGTGTGCGGAGCCTTGGCCTGCGGCATGGCACGAGGCGGACCTGATACGCAACTTGACTTTTCTCGAGCTTTTCCCTATTGTGGTAGCAGTGGAATTGTGGGGGGAGGAGCTCGTGAACAGGCAGGTGGTTTTCCGCACAGACAACATGAGTGTGGTCCATGTGGTGAATCGTTTATCATCTGGCTCGGTTCCAGTATTGGCTCTGTTGCGTCGGTTGGTTCTACATTGTTTGGAATTTAACATTTGGTTCCGAGCAATCCATGTTCCCGGAGTGTCTAATGTTATTGCCGACTCTCTTTCTCGCTTTCAGTGGGATCGTTTTGGGACGTCGCTCCGGGAGCCGAGGAAGATGGTCTGGTATGTCCCACATGCTTGTGGACCCTCGATTTCGGAACCTAGCAGACCTGTTCAGGAGATTGCTGGCTCCCGCTTCGTGGACAGCCTATCGGGCGGTGTGGGATCGGTGGCTGGTCTATGCGGGAGAGTTCGGTTTGTATTCCACTGAGAGTAGGTTGCTGTCTACTTTGGCTTACATGTCCTCCTTACGGGAGCGCGCAGCTTCGGTGGCATCGGTGGAACGCAGTTTAGGGGCTCTTTCCTTTCTGATGCGTTGTATGGGGTGGGAGGATGTTTCTAAAGAGTTCGTGGTCCAGAGGGTGCTTCGGGGATGGAGGAAGGAAAGGGCCCCTGCTTGAAGACGGCCGGTGTCCGTCCACCTATTGGATGCTCTGTGTGGTGTTCTCACTGCGGTGTGCTTCTCCTCCTTCAAGGCACTGCTTTTCAGGGTAGCCTTTTCTCTGTGTTTTTACGCCGCGCTGCGGATAGGAGAGTTAGTGGCCACGTCGGCTAGGGCTCCGGCATCTCTTCGGAGGGGGGACGTTCGCACAGGGCAGAGTGGAGTGGAGTGGAGGTTTTCATTCGGAAGTCCAAAACAGATCAGTTAGGACGGGGGAGGTCGGTTAGCATTGGTGCTACTGGGGGTAGGTGGTGTCCGGTGGCGCTGGTAGGGCAATACATGCGTTTACGGCCGGAGGCAGCAGAGTCCTTCTTGCTTCACGCAGATGGGTCAGTCTTAACTTGGTCTCAGTTCTCCAGTGTTTTTAAGGCTAGTTTACAGGCTTTGGGCATAGAGGATAAGGGATACTCTCCCCACTCCTTCCGGATTGGTGCAGCAACGCAGGTAGGGCTGTCCGATGCTGCAATTTAGCGCATGGGTCGATGGGATTCCTGCAGGTTTCAGCTGTATATTCATCCTCATCTGTTATAGGCTGTTGGTAGTTATGATGCATTGTTTTCTCTACAGGTTCCCCCCAGGTATGTTTGGATCATCAGTCACTCCTTTATTTATTGGGCGGCTAGGCGGGCCGAGCAGAGACCATACGGCCAGAATCTAGGGCTCTCGCATGAGCAGGTTAGGGTTCGATGGCGGGAGATACGGGGTTTGGAGTGGCACCAAGGGTATCCGGAGTGTGTCGCGCTCCGTCACTTCGTGACCGGGTCAGTGGTTCTGGTACTTCATGCCGGGGGGAATGACTTGGGACGGTGCCGCCCAGTGGATTTAATTTACGCTTGCAAGCACGACTTGGCTCGCTGTATGGCGCTTTTCAGCGAGGTCACACTGGTGTGGTCTGAAGTCATTCCTCGTCCGGCTTGGGGGGCGCTGCCACATGCCAGGGCGGTGGAGCGCGGCAGGCGACGGTTCAACGTGACTATTTCACGCTTTGTGCGTAGGCTGGGTGGCTTTGTGGCTCGTCATGTGGATCTGGAAGGGAACAACGCAAACATAATGAGGGCTGATGGGATCCACCTAAACGAAATTGGGCTGGATATATTTAATGTGGGATTACAGTCAGCCATTGAACAGGCGCTGGCTTCGGGGGGACGCAGTCCTCTCCAGGGATAGGGGAGAGGCTGCGGTGGCGGTTTGTCCTTCGCCAGCAAGTGGAACTGAGAGCAGTGCCCGGACGGGCTTGGGGAGTCGCAGCCTGGTCAGGCTGAAGAGGCTCTGGAAGAATTGTTATGTTAGCTGTCTGCAGGGAAAATCCAGCAGCTGACCGTTGGTTTAAATGATGCTGGCTTAATAATAAAAGCTGTGGCCGTTGCCCTTACCCACAATTTGGCTTTCTGTGAGTTATTGGGGGGAAGAGTAACGGAAGGTAAACGGAGAGGGTCAGCAGTCATGAATCAGTGTTCCCTAGGATTACCTTGAATATATGATTATTCAAATAAATGAGGCAGTACACTTGAAAAAACTAAACAAAAAATGCTGAAGTGTTTTATGTGTGAGTAGCATGTAGAAGTGGTAAACTGGCACTTTTATTATGTGTTCTATTGAGCTAAAAGAAGAGGCAGGGTTGCTTTGCCTTCTCCCATGTGACACTGTTATCACCCTTCCCCCACAGTGGATTATTTTATGTTTTTCTCCATGTCTGTATCCTCCCTGGCTCATATCCTCCCAGAGTCCGACTGGGCACATGGTTCAGAATCTCAGACTTCCCAATGAGAAGCCTCTAATTAATCTTTTCCCTGGTACACTGAAAGTCTGTGTCGAGGAAAAAGGGGAGGATTTGCAATACTGCAGACAGAAGAGGCAAAAAAAAATGTTTTTCTTAATATACCACCCATGAAAACATTTAGCAATAAATATGTGCATGTTTTCATTGGAAGCTTATTTACTAAATAGTGACTTGTTTTCTTCTAGTATGTGGAGTTTTCCTTTAAATAGGACATGTAATTAAAAACCACACATTTGAGTGGAAGAATATCTATAAAATACAGTATATAGAGGTTTTACCGCTGTATTATCTGCCATTTAATATTTTATTATTATTTTTTATATAGCACCAACATATTACACAGCGCTGTACAGTGGGAGGATTAACAGACCAGTATTGCAACAAGACAAGTTAGCCTGGCATACAGGAACAGACAGTGTTAAGTGCCCTTTTCAAACGAGCTTAGATTCCTAGAGTAATGGGGTAAAATGACATGAGGTATGGGTAAGATGTATGTCATGCATGGAAAAAGATAGTTTTTTTTTTTTTAAGTTCATTTATAAAAGTGCACATTTTCTAAATTAAAAAAAAGACACACTCTTCACACCATCAAAGTACTTTAGCTTTCTGAAGTGCTTTTTATGTAAAGAGTGTGTCCCTTTAACCTCTTAAGGACACATGACATGTGACATGTCATGATTCCCTTTTATTCCAGAAGTTTGGTCCTTAAGGGGTTAATGCCAAATACACTTGCACAGGAAGTATTTGTAGCAGATAGAGACTGACCACTCACAATCAGAATCCCTGACACTGACACAAACAGATATGGGTCCATATACAAATGGACGCACACACACACCAAACCATGCACACATACTAGCAATACAGACACTGATTCTCTCTCTCTACCTCTCTCTCTCCCCCCCTGCCTCCCCCTCAATGGGGGAGTGAGACACCTTGGTAACCTGAACTCAATGCTGGACTGAGGAGGAGGAGGAACAGAGTGTTCTCTCCTCCAGAGTTCAAAGAGGCCAAAAGCATGCAAAGTAAGACAGAAGCCAGGAGGCGGAAAGGTCCTCCTGCGAGTTCGGCAATTCAGAGCATTGCCGCAAGTTACCATGGCAATTCTCAGAGAATCTCGTGGGAGGACTGAACTCTGCCTGCAGCCAGAGGAGCTGCAGGCAAGATAGAGCTGCTCATCTGCACCGGACCACCAGGGAAATGTCACCTCTCCCTGGGGAAAAGGGAAGGGGAGAGGGGACAGACAACTTATTTATACTTTTTATTTTTTAAATCGTAATAAAATGATTTTTGATTAATTACTCTTATTCCCCCCTAATTTATAGGCATCCCTCCCCCCCAAACACACACCCCCTCACACACAGCATCACACAGAAACATAGAACCCCTCACACAGAGCACCCTTGTCACACACACAGCCACCCTCACACACACAGACCACCCCCCACACAGTGCACCCCTCTCACACACACAGAGCAATAGGGAGGGCGGGCTAAAAAAAATGAAAACACACAGCACCCCTAACACACACACACACCCACAGAGCACCCATCACACACAAAACACCCCTCACACACAGCACAGTATCTGTGCCAATATGTGTATCTCTGTGTCTCTGCATGTGTGTGTTAATGTGTTTATATGTATGTCAGGTTGTGTATCCTTAAGTGTGTCATTGTATGTATCTATGTGTCTGTGTATCTGCATGTGTATGTGTGTCAGTGTGTGTAACTCTGTGTATCTGTGTGTCAGGATAAGTATCTGTGTGTGAGGATTTGTGTCAGGGTATGTATCCTTAAGTGTGTATATATGTGTGTTTATCTACATGTTTGTCAGTATATGTATCTGTGTGTCTCTATGTATCTTCATGTGTGTCAGGTTGTGCATCTGTGTGTCCGGGTGTGCATCCTTAAGTGTGTCAGTGTATGTATCTATGTGTCTTTGTATCTGCATGTGTGTCATTGTGTGTATCTGTGTCTCTGTCAGGATGGCGGTCCGGTGCCCGGGACCCAGACACTGTCCGGGCGGCGGTGCGTGGACCGGGACCCCTGAGTGCTTGGTGTTCAGAGTAGGAGTCACAGTGTGGAGGTGGATTAGCAGGGTCTGGTGCAGGGCAACCGTACGCCCCCTGGTGTTGAGCACCAGCGTTTGTGCAGCCACATACCAGAACCCTGATTCAGCTTAGGCGGATCCTAGGAACTAGGAGCAGGTAATTAAGCAGACCTCCCAGGAGCTGAATAGGGATGTATCCAGTACTGAAGCAAGGCAAAACTAGGAGAGCAAGGCACCATACACGAAAACAAGACCAAACTAGGAGAACAAGGAAAGACTAGAGATAGGCACCATACATGAAAACAAGGCAAAACTAGGAGAACCCAGAACCAGAGCAGGACAGAAAGCAGAACCTAGAACATGTACACAAGACATGATGAAAACAAGAACATAACATGGGCAGGACGGAACATGGACTGTGATTACAAGACAAAGTAAAACAAGACAAGAAATACAAGGTAAAACAAGAGGAAACATAGCTAAGCACTAATTATGAAAAGTATTGGGATTTAGTCACATTATATGATCATACATTGCACAAGCCTGCCAACAATGCCAATGTACCCCATATCTGGCAGGTCCTACATTGCCTAATGTATACTAAAATAACCACACTATACCACAATAGCACTTACCTGCAAGAAAGGGCAGAGACATGAAACACTGCTGCAGGTCCAAGCTGAAACAAAAGGAAAGTGGGAAAACAAACGGGTGTGGCAACATAAAACAAACATTTAAGTGAATCCAAGAGACTGGGAAATCCAGGGACAGAATATAAAAATGAACTCAGAAACCCAGCAATCAAGAAAACCAGACATAGACCAGAAACACCAAGCAAGGACAACAAAAAGAATACCAGAAGCCATTGCCAGAATGATCTGCAGCGAGGAACAGGATGTGACAGTCTCAGGGTATGTATCTGTGTGTCAGGATAAGGATCTGTGTTGGTGCCTGTATCTGTATGTGTGTCAGGGTATGTGTCCTTAAGTGTATCAGTGTATGTATATATGTGTCTGTTTATCTGCATGTTTTTCAGTATAGGTATCTGTGTGTATATGTATGTGTCTGTGTATTTGCATGTATGTGTGTCAGGGTATGTATCTGTATGTATTGCTGTGCATCTTCATTTCGTCTGTGTATCTGTATGGGTATCAGAGTGTGTATATGTTTGTCATTTTGTATGTGTGTCTGTATTTATCTGTCTTTGTATTTGCATCTGTGTCTCAGGGTATGTGTCTGTGTGTCAGGATCAGTATCTGTGTGTGAGGATGTGTGTCAGGGTATGTATCCCTAAGTGTATCGGTGTACACATGTATACATGTGTCTGTGCATCTGCATGTTTGTCAGTATAAGTGTATGTGTATATGTGTGTGTGTCTGTGCATCTGCATGTGTGTCAGGGTGTGTATCTGTTTGTCAGTGTGTCTGTGTGTCAGGGTAGGTGTCTGTATGTGTGTCAGTGTATTTATCTGTTTTTGTATTTGCATGTGTGTATCTGTGTGTCAGGATGTGTGTCAGTGTCTTTATCTGTGTATCGCTGTGTGTCAGGGTATGTATATATGTGTCTGTGTATCTGCATGTTTGTCAGTACAGGTATCTGTGTGTCAATTTGTGTGACTGTGTGTATATGTATGTGTGTTTATGTATGTGTGTCTGTGCATCTGCATGGGTGTCAGAGTGTATCAGTTTGTCAGTGTGTCTGTGTATCTGCATGGGTGTCAAAGTGTGTATCTGTTTTTCAGTGTGTCTGTGTGTCAGGGTATGTATATATATGTGCGTATCTGCATGGGTGTCAGTGTATCTGTGTTTCAGGGTGTGTATCTGTCTGTTTTTTTGGGGGTGTGTATCTGTATGTGTGTCAGGGTATGTATCTGTGTATCTGACACAGATACATACCCTGACACACCCCTAAACACAGACACACAGATACATACCCTGACACACCCCGAAACACAGACACACTGACACACAATACATACCCTGACGCACATGCAGATACAGACACATAGATACATACACTGACACACACATACATACCCTGATACACATACAGACACAAATACCCACACGGACACTGACACACATGCAGATACAGTGTCTGTATCTGCATGTGTGTCAGTGTATTTGTGGGTCAGTGTCTGTATCTGTATGTCAGTGTGGATATCTGTGTCTGCATGTGTGTCAGAGTATGTATCTGTGTGTGCCAGTGTCTTTATTTGTATCTGTGTATCTGTATGTGTGTCAGTGTATGTATCTGTGTTTAACTGTATCTGCATATGTGTCAGAGTATGCATCTTTGTGTCATTGTGTGTATCTGTGTACCTGTATGTGTGTCAGTGTGTATATCTGTATGTATGTTTTTGTGTGTCTGTATGTATGTCAGTGATTTTATCTGTATGTTTGTGCATAATTGTGTATGTACATCTGTACCTGTATGAATGTCAGTGTGTGTATCTGCATGTGTCATTGTTTGCATGTGTGTGTGTATCTGTATCTATATGTGTGTCAGTATGTGTAACAGTTTGTGTGTCTCTGCAGAGAAGTAGCAGGGGGAGCCTAGGGCAGAGAAAAGGGGGATATGGGACAGAGAAAAACGTATAAATTTGAAATATATGTAACTATATGTATTACAAACATTTTGCTAATGGGAGGGGTACAATTTATGGAAATGGGCTGCAAAGTGAAAAAAGGTTGGGAACCACTGCTCTAAGAGGTTCAGTGCATGCCCCCTTCTCTTCTCATCCCATATGCATGTGTGGTTATTTGAGGTCCAGATACACCCAGCAAATATTTTGCAGTTCTGGCTTACCCTTTGTATGGCAGTGATTCTGCCAACACATTAAATGTCATTGCAATGTCATTGCAATGCTCTCTCAAAGAAAAACTTTCTGCAATTCGACTTTAGTCATAACAATCAGCCATGTTAAATCGCGTTTGCAAATGACTGTTCGTGTTTTTTTTTCTTCATGTTCTTTTCTGTTTATTAAACGGCAGCACATATCCAAACAATACGAAAGGGCGAAAGAAAGTAAGTCTTCGAGTACCAGAGATTCTGCAATGCACAAAAAAGTTCTTTTTAAAGAAACATAAATTCACGGCTTGCTATTAGAATAGTGTCCCTTTATTCCTTTCCGCTATTTAGACTATAATCACCTGTATAAACAAACAAGACATGTACATTAAAGCAGAGCTGGTCTATAGTCCTTAGTGGTGAGCCAAGGTGTTCACTGATGCCGAATAATATCGTCACTCATGTGGAATGCGGCAAAGCTTATTCTATGAAATGACTGTTTTGTGGAGTGCATGCCAATCAATCTATCTCCACACTATGTGACTTGCCAGCCCATTCTGTCACTGTATCCCGCACTAGCTGAAGGTGCTGTAAAGATTGACATGTGTGTCTTGCAGCAATCAGTGTGAAGTACAGCAGCAATCTGACTTAAAATGACAGCTGTTTGCTGAAGAGCCTAATCTTTCCCCAGGCAATATTTTTTCTCACATTTGTTTTTCTATCTCCAACAAAGATCATTATTTTTGATCATCGTATTTCATTTTGCTCAAGTAAGCAAAGAACTTCTGAAACCAGGAATACAAGAAGGCTTTCAAATCATGAGGAAAGTCGAGGTATGGCATTGTTTTACTCTATTATTTTATTGGCAACATATATAAATATATTCTATAAATGGCATTTATCCACAGGGTGGGAAACGGAAAATGTAAATTAGCAACTGACTCTTTTGACAAGAAAACAGGAAAAGTGAATTCAGATTACTTACAGCAAAACTTTTTTTCTTTTTTTAATTGCTAAATCCAGCTATTTTTTTAAGCTTCTATGCAGATTTCTTTCCAACATATTTGTGTTTACAAATGCACATTTATTAGCAATTGTCGAACGTCTATACATATATAAAGTTGTATATCAGGTAAAGTAAATTTCTAGGTTGAAGTGTAAGAAATCAAGCAGAGATTAAAAAGTAATAATTTGGGTTAATGCATACTATGTAAATGAAGTAAACACAGCTAGTTTTCCTTTTCCGAAATTCCTTAAAACATTTAAAATACAGATTATTCTAAAATGAACTGGATATGCCATGAAGACCATCTAAAGACACTGATCTTTGCACACTTTATATTCATAAAAGACAAAGTCACATAAATTATGGCTAAACTTCCCAAACCAGGAAGAAAGGTAGAATAATTCTTTCATATTTTCAGATCTGGTTGTCTGGTTTGTACATTTGTCAGATGATATGATTGGATCCCTGGTCTGCTAGTAAGTGTAGTCCCAGTCCGAAATTGGTTTCCAGACACACAACAGCTTGAACAGATGAGTAATGTGCCACCCAGCATAAGAAAGAAAGCTCCAAACCAGCCCATAAACAGAGCTTCGCCAAATTCCCACCGTGGCACAATTTCTGGAATGGTCTCATCCCAAAATTCCTGGACAATGTCGTATGCTATCCAAGAAACTGGGACTAGTGCTGTTACTGCTGAGGCCCAAAACAATATCCCACCAAAGAGATTCAACTTTGACTTGTTTTTATCTTCACCAGTTTTCAGGCAATCCAATCCAAAGCAAGATATTAGGAGGCCAATAACCCCCAAGCCATTAGAGAAGAACATCAAAATCCTTGACATTTGGATTGGGAGCGGCAGGGCCAAAAATGAATCAAAATCCTTACATTCCATAGGTCCTTCATCTTGTATCACACATGTCTGCCACAGTCCCTGGTTCCAGATCTCCAATTCATTAAGGTCTAAATTGAGGTTTTTCCAAAGAGGCACAAAAGTGCTGACACAGGTTAGAACACATCCCAAAAGAGAGAAAAACATTGCACCATATTGTAGCTTCTGCCTTTTAGTCATAGCTGCCAGATTATACACCCTTTTGAGTGACTATGTATGCACTAGACTAGAGACTAGATGCTTGTGGACTGTTGATTTAATGCTTGGTGATGCTGGTTATAAGTCATGACATATACTCTTTAAAGCCTATGGGATCTGTTTGTATTTAATGAATGAAGTATTTAGTGTCGTTGGATCTCAGCCAAAGGACTATTATGTCAGATACCATTACAGAAATAGGAGATGGACAAGTTTCACCATAAAGGAAAACTGTAGTTGGAAATAATCTTGCAAATTTTAGCAATATAATTATGATGTCATATATGAATTTAGTCACTTTTTTTTACATTGCATTTTTTACATTGAAATTGTATATTCCTGTTTCTACGTTCAATGTACTACCGATTTATAGAATATTCAGAAAAACTTATTAAACGTAGATATTCTCTTATCAGATATTCATATTATGTATTAAGCTTACTTTCGGAGGTAGGAATAAGCCTAATTTTTGAGGTATTCACTATAATCATATTGTTGAGAACTTAAAAAAAATGAAATTTTATGCCCAAAAAAATTTAAAATACAAATATTTTTCCAAATTAAGTATTTTTTTCATCTCACCTGTTTAACCTAGAAATTGCAATTCCACCAGTGTCAATTCTCTGTAATTCTCACTTTAGTGACTAATGTAGTGCAATGCATAGTTCTGAAAGGATTTTATACCTAGATACATGTTTTGTGTTTCTGCTGTGTGAGAACTCACATGTTTGAAATACTGTCCCTAAATTCTACAGCTTCACACATTACATGCATGTATTTGTTTGGGGGTACTTTGTCAAATTATAATATTACCGTGTAAGTGGAGCATGTCAGTAGGTTCTGCTGTGCCTCGGTTCAAGCTGGGCTTTGAAGGGTAAAGTTTCAACTTTCGTCTGTTTTACTAATAGTTTCTCAATTCAAGCATACTAGGAAGTAATCCAAGTCTGTCATGATTGTTGCTCAATATTTCTACTTCGATAAGCTGCTGTACATTGAGTTACCTCCTACTAAGAGTTTGTGGTTTTGTTTTGTTTTTTCCCTTAGCAAGGTATAAAAAAAATAAATACGTTTTTACAAAACTTTCAAAAGTTGACAGGGGTGAACACTTTGGAAGCACTTTCTGAGTCATAATGGGTTTTACTAGCAGTTAAAACAATAATTTGATTAATACAATGACTAAGGCGCAAAAGACCTCTATGATTAAGGAAAATTAATCCCTCAGTTCTGTTTGTAACGTACATAATGTGTCTGTTTAACCCCTTAAGGACTGAGCCAAATGTACAAGTTGTGAAAAAAAAATAAAACGTAAACAAAAACTTGAATTTGCGCTATATGTCTGTTCAGGCGTAATTCGCCTCTTTCATTATTATGTGCAACCACACTTCTTATATATCATTTTATTCAGGGGAAACCGGGCTTTCATTTAACGTCAAATATTTATGTATGAAACATAATTTAATATGAATAAAATATAAAAAAATGGGAGAAAATAAGAAATGTACATTTTTTATTTTTGTTTAGTTCTACGTGACATTCTAACTGTGAATGTCATAATACTGTTTGCTTTTACTGTAATAAAATACACATATTTGTATTCAGCAATGTCTCACTTGTAAAAAAAACTGTACCCCCCATTAACAGGTTTTATGGTGTTTTGGGAAGTTACAGGGTCAAATATAGCATTTTTCATTTTTTTCACATTGAAATTCGCCAGATTGGTTACGTTGCCTTTGGGAAATACCCCCATGATGGCATACCATTTGCAATAGCAGACAACCCTTGCAAATGGGGTATGCCCAGTCTTTTTTAGTACCCCATTTGCGATACCACTAATTTTCATTCCTGGGCTACCATACAGTCTCAAAGGCAACGTAACCAATCTGGCGAATTTCAATGTGAAAAAACTGATATGCAAGCCTTATAGTTGACTCTGTAACTTTTGAAAACACCATAAAAGCTGTACATGAGGGGTACTGTTATACTCAGGAGACTTCGTTGAACACAAATATTAGTGTTTCAAAACAGTAAAACGTATCACAACAATTATATCGTCCGTGTAAGTGCCATATGTGTGTGAAAAATGGAAAAAATTTCACTTTCACTGACGATATCATCATTGTAATACATTTCCGAGTAAAACAGTACAGGTTTTATGGTGTCTTGGAAAGTTACAGGGTTAAATATAGTGCTAGCAAATTACATTCCCTGGACTTTTGGCCTGGGTTCTCAGGCAGGTCCCACAAATTGTAATTAATAAAATGACCTAATTATATAAAATTATTACATAAATATATACGTAGAATTATTATATATATTTGTATATATATATATATATATATATACACTTAGATCATATATATATTTATTAAATATATGATCTAAGTATATATAATATAATTTAATTTTAAACTGTTTTAACATTTATATTTATTTTTTACAGGCAGCAGCGGGAGTACACTCCCCCTGCTGGCATTGCTATGTATGGCTATTCCGTCCATGTGATCGCGAGGTCCTCACAAGGACCTTGCGATCACATGGCCCAGGGCGCTGAAACGGACGGAGGGGGACACCCTGGACTACCAGATGAGTCCGCAAACCGCGATCGCCAGCGACCGGGTAAGTAGAAAGGACGGCGCGGGTGTGCTATGCCGCCCCCCAGCGTTTAGAGACGGGTCCCCAAGGACAGCATAGCACTCCCGCCGTCCTTAAGGGGTTAACCCACCCAGTGGAGCAATGTACTTGTTGACATCAGAAAAAAAAATCTAGAAGTGTTTTGTTTTAACCCCTTAAGGACAGCAGATGTTCTATGCCGTCCTTAAGGGGCTGGCTCTAAACGCCGCTGGACGGCCTAGAACGTCCTCGCCGTTCTGGCCGCCGCCATTCGTTGTTGCAGATCGCCGTCGGGGGACCTGTTTGGCAACCCAGGCAGCCCCCCTGTGGCAAATGACCGCGATCTGCAACATCTGATCGCAGTGACAGCCAGTCACTGGGATCAGTGTTACTATGTGTCAGCCAATTCATGAATTGGCTGACATAAATGGCTGCCACCATTCCCCCTTTGTAGATCGCCCCCTGCAGATCGCGGTCTGGGGGCATACCTGGCAACCCAGGCAGTCCCCCTGTGGCAAATGACCGCAGCCAGTCACTGCGATCACTGTTACAATGTGTCAACCAATGATTTTAAATCACTGGCTGACACTTTGTCTCTGCCCCTGTCCCCACCTCACTTCGAGAGAGGCAGAGAAATTGTTGCTGATTACAGCTCCTGTGGGAAAAAAAGTTTTGAATCTTTTTAAAAGTAAAAAAATATATATTTTTCTAACCCTTTCAGTGCTGATCACAGCATTAACACTATGTTAAGCCTGTTTAGGGCTTTTAGTATTCTTGAACTATATAAAAAAAATAAAAATTTGTGTCGGTTTCAGCAACCCAAATCTCCCTTAACCCCTTCCCTGCTGCTGTGGTCACTGTACTGTAGAGTATATCTGCTGTACAGTACTGTATCAGTGATCACTGTGAGTTAAAAATAACCCTTTCAGTACTAATCGCAGCTGACTACACTGTGATCAGTACATTTATTTTATTTTTCGTGGGTTTTTGAGGGTGGGTAGTGGGTGTTAGGCAGGTAGATAATAGGTAATTACCCCCATAGTTTTTTATTAGTTAAAGTGGCACTGTCATGCCGAACTTACCTTTCCTCAATCTCTTCCTCTTCTCCCCCTCTCTCAGGATCTGTTCTTCTTTTCTTCCTGTTTTCTTTAAAATCATAAGACAAAGTAGGGACTCTTTGGCTTATGGAGGTTTCCTCCGCTTGACCAGCTTTGACCAGCGGAGGAGTGTGCTTCATTTCCGCTGGTCAGAGCAATTTTCCCATGAACCTTAGATTTCCTCCCTGTTCCCACGATGCTTCCTGTCAGTATTGCCAACGTCCTGTCACTTAGACAGAACGCCGACAAAACTGCCGAATTGCATCCTAACAGAATGAGACAGTTTCTCCCTTTCGTGTTAGGATGCAATTCGGGACTTTGTTTGGATCGCAATTTCATTTGAATGAATGAAACTCCGATCCTATTTGTGCTGTGGCTGCATCTTGCAGCCGCTTAGTAGATAACTCCCTGACACCGTGGGAATTAGGGAGTTATCTACTAAAATGCTGAAAGACCTAAATTGGTCTTTCAGCCAACTTTACAAATACTAAGTAAAGATTACTTAGTATTAGTAAATTCTGCCCCTACTCTCTATACCGTGAGTAGGGGGATGTCTATTAAACAGTGAGCAGCCAAAGAACTTTCCCACGCTGTGTAAAATGACACAGAGCACTGTGATTGGATGGATTTCAAGCCACCCAATCAGAGTGCTCTGTGTCATTTTACACAACGTGGGAAAGTTCTTTGGAATTTTCCCACGCTGTGTAAAATGACACAGAGCACTCTGATAGAGTGAGGGGGGACCTGGGGGGCTTATGAAGTGGAGGGGAGCACTGCTCCCTGCTGCTTCTATCTTTACATATTACAAGGAGGGAGCTGTGCGCCGGTAGTCTCTCTCTGCACATCCGGGGTCCCATTATAGTCGCAGGAATATGTGGCGACCCATTGATGTTGCAGAAATGAAGCAGTTTTGGGCTTTAACCTTAGTGATGGGTATAGTTAAAAAGCCCAGTATCGGGTCCTATTGGAGAAAGCAACGCATTCTGGCTACCCCTCTTTTCCCTTAGGTTATGCAGAGGGATCGCTAACTGCAACTGCTGCGATTCCTTCATTTTAATGATAACTCACTGTGTCCCCATAGAAACGACCCACTGTTTGACAGGCTCTATAAAATTCATCCCTTCATTGCAATTTTCAATACCTATGTCCTCTATAAAAAAAGAGGTCATAGGTAAGCCCTGTCCTTTCCTAGAATTCATGCTAAGCCTTTTATCCCAAAAGTTAATTACTCAGCCCCCCAGTCCCACTTTGGAATCAGGATATTTCCAAAGACTTTGTGGCAAACACTTTCCTTCCCGACTCCCACCCAACCCCAGTAAAAAAGCTCCCCAAAGAAAGTGCCCTGTTTGCTACAAGAAACGAGTCCAAAAGGACTCCAGTTATTATTGCCCAACCTGTTATTATTGCCGACCTGCCCATCTCTACCCGCCCTCTGCATAACAGACTGTTTCAAAGTCTACCATACAGAACTGAACTTGAATTAAATCACTCTGTATGGGACTTTGGCAGTTTGTTTGCTTGATTTCCCTGGATTTCTGACCTTGGCTTGTCCTGACTACGCTGTGTTAGCTGCCTGTACCATCCTATTGGCTTCTCTTACCAACTACTCTGACTTCTGGATTCCCCTGTCAGTGTTAAATCAAAATACTGAGGTTTTATTGCACTAACTAATATCAGGATTATGACCTTTCCTGTGAAAATTCATGTGTGTAAATAGATAAAAATAAAAATAAGTAAAAATATCTACATGGGCCCTGCATCTCTGTTAAAATGGCTAGACCAAACAGCTCAAACTATGTCATTTGGAATACTTTGGGTTGCCTTCTTTTGAAAATAGTATGCCATAACAGTGGAAATGTTATTAACCAGGCTGCCATACTCTCTGAAAAGCCACATAGGCCCAGAAAATCACTTTGTCAAACTTACAAGATGAAAGGGCATCTAATATATTTCACCCTGTGACTTATCGAAAAAAAATCTGAAATAATGGTACGTGGAGGATACTATTATATTCATGAAACAATGTGTAATCAAAATACCGAGGCTCTATTGCACTAAGATCAGGATTATGACATTACCTGTGAAAATGCAATTCATGTGTGTAAAAAGACAGAGCCCCGCAGCGAGATAGACCAGACGCCATATCTGGCTGCTCCGACGCTCACAAACCAAATCACCCTAAAATCTAGCAATACTTAAGCCATCCAGAGATACAAGTACCAGATCTGAATGGGGGAGTCCCTCCTGCATCACACGTTGCCCTTCCAGTACATCCTGAAATAGGCTAAGCCAAAACGCAAAGCCGGGGCCTACCTCACACCGACATTTCACGGCCTGGATTATCTATTTGGCGGAAACTGCCTGGAAGACGCGGAAAACACGATCCAGCTGCCATAGGGATGGGACGCAGATCCCAGAAATCCCAACCAGGTACAACAGCAGTGCAATCTGACATTGGCACACTGATCCAGTGGCAAACACCCGCCAAAATGGCAGCCACGCAGGGCCCAGACTCCGCACACCTGGCTATTCCTCCGGAGCAAACCTCCCAGGTGGCCATACAGCCAAAACCCATGACGCAGCAAGGAACCACAGACCCCACTACCAAGCAGGATCTACAGCACATGCAAACTATGCTGCAGGAAATACAAAGTCTCCTGGCTGCAGACTTACCTGCCCTCAAGACAAGCACAAATCACAGAGAAAGTGGTGAACACAGAGGGAGAAGTGAAGGTGATCTAGGGTAAAATCTCCTTGCTGCAGGAATCATTCCTTCAACTACAGCACAACTACCAAAACCTATCGATACATCTGGCAGCACAAGAGGATAGGAACCGACGCAACCACATCAAAATCCAAGGCATACCGGATCTGCCTTACTATGTGAGACGACTTATGCACTCTCTACTATCCCCTGCAATAGCGGGGAAACTCACCTTTGCAGGGATATATCGTCTGCCAATGTCGACTGGAACTACTACACCCCGTGCTGGAGATGTCGTCATCCGCTGCATCTTACCCCAAGACAATGGTTTTCACAAATCATCTGACGTACCCAAACCCACTATTGTATACTACCGCCACCTAGGAACACATGCTTGTTAAACTAATGAAAAAATGTGCTATGTTACGACACATGCTCTGTACAATCGCTGATGAAAACTGCTGTAATGTACACTGATGCATATGGTAAATTTGATTTCTACTTGCAGCATGCAAAAACAAAGAATAAAAAAAAAAAAAGACAAAAATAAAACTATAACCGCTATGTGGGCCCTTCAGTTCTGTTAAAATGGCTATACTAAATATCTCAAATTATGCCATTTGGAATACTCTGGGTTGCCTACTTTTGAAAATGGTATGCCATAATAGTGGAAATGTTATTACCCAGGCTGCCATACTCTCTCAAAGGCGAGAGAGGCCCAGAAAATCACTTTGCCAAAACATATATGGACAAAACCGTATATTTGACCCTGTAACTTTACAAAACCCCATATAACCTATACATGGGGGGTACCATGTTTTCCCGTGAGACTTCACTGAACAGAACTAGGAGTGTATCAGGGCAGTAAAATATATACCGGTACTGACAATAATATTATCAGTGAAAGTACAGTTTTTATGTGAAAAATGCAAAGAAAAAAAATCTGAACACTAACTTTGGCTAAGTTTTGTGCCCAGGTGGCTACTACAAAAGACTGGGATGTCTATTTTTTCAAATGGTATGCCATGATGGGGGGGTAATTTTAGTTTCTTGGCTGCCATACGGTCTCAAAGTCAGCCTAGGCACAGCAAACTAAACTGACAAATTTCTACGTAGAAATAAAATTAATGGACAAGCCATATATTTGACCCTGAAACTTTCCAAAAACCTCAAAAAACCTGAACATGGGGGTTACTGCTTTACTTGTGAGACATTTCTGGATACAAATATGTAAGTTTTATTGTAACAGTATTCAGGCCCTGGGGACAAGGGCACATGTAGGAGTGTGGGGATAGATGCAGGCAGGGCCGCCATCAGAAATTTTGGGGCCCCTGACAAAGCACAAGGTCTGGGCCTCCCCTCACTCCCGGGCCCGCACACGCCCTACCTGGTCCGCTGACAATGATGCAGGACTGAATGTGGTGTGTATAGTGGAAGTGAATTAGAATATGTGTAATGGATGTAGTGTTTGTGTGTATTAGATACTGTTTGTACAGTGAATGCAGAGTGTGTTTTTGTGTAGCGGATGCAGTGTGTATAGTGAACGCAGAGTGTGTTTGAGTAGTGGATATACTGTGTGTACAGTGATGTAGTGTGTGTTTGTGTAGTGGATGTAGTGTTTGTATGTACTAGATGAAATGTGTTTAGTGGGTGCAGTGTCTGTAGTGGATGTAGTGCATGTATTAGACGCAGTGTCTGTGTATAGTGAATGCAGAGTGTTTCAATGTGTGGTGGATGTAGTGTGTGTACTGTGAATACAGGATGTTTGTGTAGTGGATGCTGTGTGTACAGTTAATGCAGAGTGTATGTTAGTGTAGTGAATGCAGAGTGTGTGTCAGTATAGTGAATCCAGAGTGTATGCATAGTTTAGTGAATGCAGAGTGTGTGTTAGTGTGTAGTGAATGCAGAGTGTGCCAGTGTAATGAATGTAGTGTGTGTTAGTGCAGTGAATGCAGAGTGTGCGTAAATTTGTAGTGAATGCAGAGTGTGTGTTAGTGTAGTGAATGCAGAATGTGTTAATGTGTAGTGAATGCAGAGAGTTAGTGTGTAGCGGATGCAGAGTGTGTGTTAGTGTAGTGAATGCAGAGAGTGTGTTAATGTGTAGTGAATGCAGAGAGTGTGTTAGTGTGTTGCGGATGCAGAGTGTGTGTTAGTGTAGTGAATGCAGAGAGTGTGTTAGTGTGTAGCAGATGCAGAGTGTGTGAGTTAGTGTAGTGAATGCAGAGAGTGTGTTAGTGTGTAGCGGATGCAGAGTATGTGTTAGTGTAGTAAATGCAGAGTGTGTGTTAGTATGTAGCGGATACAGAGTGTGTGTTAGTGTAGTGAATGCAGAGAGTGTGTTAGTGTGTGGCGGATGCAGAGTGTGTGTTAATGTGTAGCGGATGCAGAGTGTGTGTTAGTGTAGCAGATGCAGAGTGTGTCTTAGTGTAGTGAATGCAGAGTGTGTTAATGTGTAGTGAAACAGAGTGTGTGTCAGTATAGTGGATGCAGTGAGTGTGTTAGTGTGTAGTGTATACAGAGTGTATGTTGTATTAGTGTATGCAGTGTGTGTGTTAGTGTATGCAGCGTGTGTGTTGTATTAGTGTATGCAGAGTGTGTGTTTTGTTAGTGTATGCAGTGTGTGTGTTGTGTGTTGTGTTAGTGTATGCAGTGTGTGTGTGTGTTGTGTATGCAGTGTGTGTGTGTTGTGTTAGTGTATGCAGTGTGTGTTGTGTTAGTGTATGCAGTGTGTGTGTGTTGTGTTAGTGTATGCAGTGTGTTGTGTTAGTGTATGCAGTGTGTGTGTTGTGTTAGTGTATGCAGTGTGTGTGTGTGTGTATGCAGTGTGTGTTGTGTTAGTGTGTGCAGTGTGTGTGTTGTGTTAGTGTATGCAGTGTGTGTGTGTGTTGTGTTAGTGTATGCAGTGTGTGTGTGTGTTGTGTTAGTGTATGCAGTGTGTGTTGTGTTAGTGTATGCAGTGTGTGTGTGTTGTGTTAGTGTATGCAGTGTGTGTTGTGTTAGTGTGTGCAGTGTGTGTGTTGTGTTAGTGTATGCAGTGTGTGTTGTGTTAGTGTATGCAGTGTGTGTTGTGTTAGTGTATGCAGAGTGTGTGTTAGTGTGTAGTGAATGCAGAGTGTGTCAGTGTAATGAATGTAGTGTGTGTGTTAGTGCAGTGAATGCAGAGTGTGCGTAAATTTGTAGTGAATGCAGAGTGTGTGTTAATGTGTAGTGAATGCAGAGTGTTAGTGTAGTGAATGCAGAATGTGTTAATGTGTAGTGAATGCAGAGAGTTAGTGTGTAGCGGATGCAGAGTGTGTGTTAGTGTAGTGAATGCAGAGAGTGTGTTAATGTGTAGTGAATGCAGAGAGTGTGTTAGTGTGTAGTGGATGCAGAGTGTGTGAGTTAGTGTAGTGAATGCAGAGAGTGTGTTAGTGTGTAGCAGATGCAGAGTGTGTGAGTTAGTGTAGTGAATGCAGAGAGTGTGTTAGTGTGTAGCGGATGCAGAGTATGTGTTAGTTTAGTAAATGTAGAGTGTGTGTTAGTGTGTAGCGGATGCAGAGTGTGTGTTAGTGTAGTGAATGCAGAGAGTGTGTTAGTGTGTGGCGGGTGCAGAGTGTGTGTTAATGTGTAGCGGATGCAGAGTGTGTGTTAATGTGTAGCGGATGCAGAGTGTGTGTTAGTGTATGCAGTGTGTGTGTTGTGTTAGTGTATGCAGTGTGTGTGTGTTGTGTTAGTGTATGCAGTGTGTGTTGTGTTAGTGTATGCAGTGTGTGTTGTGTTAGTGTATGCAGTGTGTGTGTTGTTGGTGTATGCAGTGTGTGTGTGTGTTGTGTTAGTGTATGCAGTATGTGTGTTGTGTTAGTGTATGCAGTGTGTGTGTGTGTTGTGTTAGTGTATGCAGTGTGTGTGTGTGTTGTGTTAGTGTATGCAGTGTGTGTTGTGTAAATGTGCAATCTGGGGGTGGAGGGGGAGGAAGGGGCATTTTAACATTAATTTTTAATTAATTTAATTAAATGTTTCTCCCCCCTCCCTGCTTACCTGTATCCAGGGAGGGGGGAGATTCCATCTGTGGTGGCCCGGTGGCATGGGGCCCCCCGGCTCCCTGTTACCATCCGCAGAGGAGGCCCATGCAGCACACAGCTTCTCCTCCTGTCTTCTCCTCTTCTAATAACTCTCGCGAGACCAGCGGAGCGTTGCCATGGTAACCGGGTCTCGCGAGAGTTATGAGAAGAGAGAAGACAGGAGGAGAAGCTGTGTGCTGCCTGGGCCTCCTCTGCGGACGGTAACAGGGAGCCGGGGGCCCGCGGCTGCACACATAGATAGAGATATTCGCTATCTATGTGTGCAGAAAGGGAAAGTGGGGCCCGGGACTGCCAGAGCAGTCCGGGCCCCCCAGGGCCGCCGGGCCCGTGACAACTGTCACGGTTGTCACCCCCTGATGGCGGCCCTGGATGCAGGGGAGTGTCTTGGGAAGTGTGTGTGGGAGGGGTTAGGTTTAATGTAAGTTAGTGTGGGGGAGGTCTTACCTCAGTGCCACTTGGGATACGGGCCAGCAAACAGCTTCCTGTCCTCCAGCTCCTGTTTGCCTGGGCCTGCAGATTGACACGGCTTGAGGTGATGGATATTGAGGCGATTCTGTCGTCCCTCAGGGCTGCTGCTGCGCTGGATGGTGACCGGCAACTAAGGGAGCAATTTCAGAACATTAGTGTAGGTATGGCTGCCGGTGTGGGCACCCCCCATGGCCTACCCTCCCTTGGAGCACCCCCTGATGCCTCCCCTGCTGCCTCCCATGCGGCCCCTGCCCAGGGGGCCGCACCAGCACTGGCAGGCGTTCCCGCCCGCCTGCCAGGCGTTCCCGCCCGCCTGCCAGGCTGTCACCAGACACCACCCCTCGGGCCCGGTTTGGGAGTAGGAGCCCGGGCCCGAGGCATCGCCAGAGCCGCATGTCTGGGGCTCCAGACACGCGGCCTACTGCTGGATGCCGGAATCGGCAGCCGCGCGGGTGGCACGGCCTTCAGCCACGAGGCCTGCCACTGCCGTGCGGCCTGCTTCCTCCTTAGCCGCCCGGCCGGCTACCTCCAGTCCGGGGATGGATGGCCGCCGGAGGATCGCGGGCCGGGGGCGGTGGGCGGCGGCAGCATTCCAGGTCCCCCCGCGGCCAGTGAGGAAGGCTTCCAGGGCTCTGTCTCCCCTGTCCCCCTTCCTTCCCCTGTTGCTTCTTTTTCTTCTTCCAGGGGACCCAGCTTACCCTTGGCTGGGCCCCCTGGTCCTCCCTCCTCCTTCCCGGTGTCCTCTGTTTCCCTCCTCCCCTCTGGTGGGCCTGCCCCTGCTCTCCCTGCTTCCCCCCCCTGTTCTTCCTCCCCCCCATCTAGTTTCTTCCCCTCCCTGGCTTCCTCCTCTCTATTGTCCTCCCCCCCCCTCCGCTTTGTCTGGGCCCCCTCCCCCCCCTGAAGGTCACTTACCTCGGCCCTATCCTCTGGGGCATGGGCTCACGACTGCTCTGCTGCTTTCTTCTCAGGATACTGCTGCAGTTCATGGATCTGTCCAGCAGGTGGCGCCTGGAACACAGCTGATGTCTGTGGATGCTGAAACTGCTGATTCTTTGCCTTCTGTGAGCGCAGTGCCGGGCTTGGATCGCCAGTCTGCGACCGGTAAGAACTTTGTTCCCTCCGCTTCTGGCGCTGCGAGTCCCAGGTTGGGAGGGTTCCTCTCGGGTCTTAGGGTTTTTTTGGATCAGTGGGAGCGGGGGATGGCGGTTAGTGGGGTCGCTTCGGTTGATGGTCAACTCCAGTCGGCTTGGTCCCCGGCCCTGCTCCCTCCTAATGTTCAGGCTTCTCCCCCTCCTGGGCCTCTGCTCGGGATGGGTGGCGGTACGGTGCCCCTGGGTTCCCCCGGCACCCGTGGTGGCCAGTGTTGGCGCCGCCTCGGTTCATGCTGGTCTCGAAGGGGTGGTCCTGGATGTAGCGCGGGGTGCTGCTTACATGTGCTGGTCTGGCCCTCTGGGCTTGCACTTGAAGAAGGAAACGAAGGAAAAAATTTGGAAAGGGGAATTTGTGGAGATATTTTCTCTCCTACCACTGGAGGAAGCTCCTCCCGTGGCAGACAAGGACAGTAAGGAGTCGGAAAGGGATAGGGAGAAGTACCGTTTCCGCAAAATTCCCAAGACCTTTGGGAACTGGATTCGGGCGTTCTCTATTTTGGCCAGTGTGGTTGGGGAAAAGTTTCCCCACAAGTGCTCCGCGCTGTTCTGTTATCAGGACACGATCTGGAACGCTTGTCGCACCTATGGGGGGCTGGGTTGGTGGAGATACGACGAGCAGTTTCGACAGCGGCTGGCGGTAGTCCCTCGCTGTCATGGAATCAGATGGATATCGGCCTCTGGCTTTCCATCATGACTCGTCCAGCCCCTCAACAAGGCACGTTTTCGTCCTTTCTTGGGGGGGCGGTGGGGGCGCGCCTTCCTCCTCATTGGCCTCAGGTCCAAGGTCTGGCTGTTGTTGGAAGTTTAACGACAGTCTCTGTAAATGGGGGTCTTCATGCAGGTTTAAGCACGAGTGCTCCGGCTGCGGCGGGGCCCATCCTGCCTCTCGCTGTTTCAAGCGGGAAAAAACGGGTGAGAAAGGGGACATGGGGGCTAAGGGCGATGACTCCGGTTCTCGTAAACGCGATGCGCCCGTGGCTCGACCTTTATAGGAATCGGGCCGCGGCGTGGATCCTGGTGGTGGGGTTTGAGCAGGGGTTTTGGATCCCGTTCTCTGAGCGCCCTCCGCTGCTCTCCGTACGCAACCTCAAATCGGTGCAGGCTTTCCCTCAGGTGGTACGGGAAAAGTTGGATAAGGAGGTCTCATTGGGGTGGATGGCCGGCCCTTTCTCTGCCCCACCGATGGCTAATTTGCGGGTTTCTCCTTTGGGTGTGGTGCCTAAGAAGGATCCCGGGAAGTATCGTTTTATTCACCATTTGTCGTACCCTCGAGGGGGTTCGGTGAATGATGACATTTCCGCTGAGCTTTGTAGGGTCTCCTATGCTTCCTTCGATGCGGCGGTTCGCATGGTTAGGGCGGCGGGCCCGGGGGCGTTGCTGGCTAAGGCCGAGCTGGAATCCGCTTTCCGGCTGTTCCCGGTGCATCCGGAGTGCCATCATCTTTTGGGGTGCGCCTTTGAGGGTCAGTTTTTCGTGGACATGTGCCTCCCTATGGGTTGCTCGCTGTCCTGTTTCTATTTTGAGTGCTTTAGCACTTTTCTGGAATGGATGGTGCGGAGGGAAGCTGGGGTCGCCTCCCTCCTGCACTACCTAGGTAATTTCCTGTGTGTAAGTCCGGCGGGATCACACGTCTGTGCCCTCCTGCTGCGGGTTCTCGGGGATATGTTTCAGCGCTTCGGAGTCCCGTTGGCTCACGACAAGACGGTGGGTCCAGTCACGTGTCTGAGCTTTCTGGGCATCGAAATTGATTCGATGGCAGGGGAATGTCGGCTGCCACAGGATAAGGTTTTGGACCTGCGCCTAGCGGTGTCCCAGGCCTTGGGGCGGCGTAAGATACAGCTGCGATGCCTGCAGTCTCTGCTGGGGAAGTTCCATTTTGCCTATCGAATCCTGCCCATGGGGCGCCCGCCCACCCCTTTGTAGTTTCAGTTAGTCACAGCAAGCCGGGGGTATGTCCTTGTCAATTAAGTTTGAGGGGTTATGTCTAAGGATGGAGTAAGTTTTTATGTTTTGCAGGTCTCAACCTCCCCTGCTTCAAAAGGTTAAACATTAGGTTGCCTGAGGTATCGTGCCCATCGAGCGTGGATGAGGTCGGCTGATGGCGGGCATTGGAAGGATTTTTTATGACGAGGGGGGAGGTGAGAGGAAGTGGTGATTAGGAACCACTGGATGTTTATTGGCAAGGACGGTTGGGTCTCTGCATAGCACCTTTTAGTTATTATATGTATATATATTAATTTATGATTATTTATTTCTAACAGAAAGAAGAGTTTAATAAATAAAGTTATGGATGTGTTATGCAGTAATTTATTTATGTTATAATAAATGCTGTGGCCTGTTCATCCATACTAAGTTGTCTGTCGTTATTGGGTTTTTTTTTTATTGGGGTTATCTATGTTTATGTGGCATCGTAATTCCCCGCTACGTACATACATGGCATTAACAGTTAAAAATGCCAAGCAGAACTTGAAAAATAAAACAATTTCCTAATTTTTCAAACTTTTTATTCATATATAATGGAGTTCCATATATGAATGTTTGATATGAAATGAAAGCTCTGTTTCTCCTGAACAAATTTATATATAATAAGTATGGGTAAATTATTGTTGAACAGACGTATAGTCAAATTCTGTGGTTTGTTTACATTTTGTTTTGATCACAACTTGTACATTTGCCCCAGCCCTTAAGGGGTTAAACTCCAAAATGCTAATTACTTGAAGTCAGCAGGAACTTTTTTTTGTCCCTCCTACTGCTCTGGACAAGAACTAATTCTCCCTGCATCTTCCAAAAATGTCTCCATTTGACACTGCCAAATATTAAGCTCTATAGTCACAAGACTTTACACCCCCATGCAGGGCCGGCGCGTCCATAAGGCGGCACAGGCGGCCGCCTTAGGGCGCACCGGCTCTGGGGGCGCAAAATTCCAGTGACCGGCAGGAGGGAAGTGCTCCCTCCTGCCAGGTCACCTCCTGGATCCCCGGCGCGGCTTGCGGCTGAATTGGATGCCGAGGGAGTTCTGATCTCTCTGATCTGCTCCCTCGCAGGCTGCTGACTGATGACGTCATATTCCGGCTCCCGCGGCATCAGTCA